ATAAGTATGGCATCAATAAGAATATGATCTAGATGAGTAAGGTATCTGAATCATCATTTCAATTTACCAAAAGAAGTTAAGATATTAAGGCAAGAGAAGTTGCAAGAGAAGCTTTGACTGAAAATTCTAAAAAAATAAGGTTCATTATTTAGTACTCCAAAAGCCTATTGGATTCTCAGCTCCAGTGTATGTGATTAGGATTTTGGTGGTACAGTTTGAAACTGGAATTAGTAAGTTTTATAAACCAGAAAATTTATTGAAATAAAGTTGATTTTATGAATGTGTTGAATAATATATGTTCTTTTGATTCTCAAAGTCTATATAAGATTTTTTCTTATGGTAATTCTAGGCTTTATTCTTTTTGGAGCAATCAAAGTAGCAAAAATAAGTTTAGTTCAGTGAGAATGTTTTATATGATAGAACTCCTAAATTTTTTCCAACTTAAGATTTGTATGAACATACTTACAATGAATCTAATATAACTAATAAACACCAATGAAAATATTTCAAAATGAATATGAAAAATTAAATTAGGTATATTTAAGCATAATTAAAATTATTATGAATAGTTTTGAGTTTCTAAAAAGTCTTAAGAAAAAATTTAGATATATTTGAATATTTACATTATCAAATAAGAATTTCATTCGAAATTGAAATTGAATTTTAAATGAAAAGAATATTAAATGGCTACACTGTTAAAAAATAGAATTTTCTGCCTTAATTTATATTTATAATGCATAATCTGTAAATTAGAAGATAGATTTAATGAATTCATGAGTAAGAGCCCATTGTTCTTTGATTTTATTTGATAAATAAATAATTAAATCAAAAATCAAAAATAATAGAAATTAAACATCATCTTATAATATATTAGATATTTAATATTAAATTAGATAAGATATTAATAAGGTTATAATTGAGGTTATTATATTGTGTATCTTGACATTAATTTGAATAAGCTATGCTAAAATAAAAGGTTATTACTTTGTTCCAGATTTATGGTCATCAGCAGAATCTTAAATTTATTTAGAGCTTGGACAAATTATGATTGTAACTCTAACTTAATTATTGATATTTACTGTTTCATTTTTTTATTCAAATTTTTGAGAAATGGCATTAATTTCATATTCCGGTAATCTTTGTCTTTTCTAGCCTTTTCAAATAAGGATTTATCCAATCATTCCAATTATCAAAAATATTCCTATTCCAATTTAGAATTCTGATGGATTAATATTTTCTGCCCATAGACATATAAAAGCAACCAAAGAATCCTCCAAATCCAATAAATTTTGATCTCAGTGAACTAAATACGTCACTAAAGTATATTTTCTGAAATTGCGTATTATAAAACTGCCCCTTAAATTGGATTAGATTTATCAAGATTTAATAATGGTTGAAAATTTGAATTACAATAAAATTTCTAAATAATTATTTAAATTATATAGATGAATTAATGAAAAATAAGGGCGGAGATGGAATGAAGCTAATTACTTATTTTTTATTTTTTAGAATTTAGAGAGTCTGTCAAGAATTAATATTTTTTATTGAAAAAGACAACTCTTATGCAATTTTTTTTAATAGATAATCATACTTATTCTAAATATTTTTATAAAAAAGGAGGTAATATGTTAATCAGGTATAGTTATAAGTTGTTAAATTTTTTGCTTTTAATGACTGACTATTTTGTTAATTGAAATCATTTTAATCGGAAAGGAATATAAATTGTTATTAAAAATAGCAATACATATTTCAAAAATAACTTACTTTCTATATATTGATCTCCAAAATTTCATAAGTCCCAAATTAAATAGAATACATGGTAGTTTATTTTGTTATTTGAGTAAACAGCAAATAAAGTTTAAAGATCTACCATTAAGGATCCTCGAGTATCAGTTGTTGAATCCTGAATTTTATAATAGAAGCTAGATACTTGGGCTTATTTCTTTAAGGTAACAAGAATGATAACTTAAGACCAATATATTAGAATCAATAAAAAAAATAAAATTACTTATTCTATATCCATTGTTATCTTGATAGCTTAATCTTTATGCTTTTAAATTTTATTTTCAAAATAAACCCTTCAGAATATTTAATGATTATTATAATTACGGTTAATTAACGAATAATCTCTAAACAATTTAATTCTATTTAAAAATTAAGAAAATAAATTAAAATATATGTAATTTAGGTGAAATTAATGTAAAATTCCAATTATATAGAAAATTATTATATTTAAGGTCAGAATATAATCTAATTGTATAAATAAAGAAAAAATTAAGTGAGAGTATCCTAAAAAGTAAAAATTTATGTATTCATAAAATAATATTTTAATATAAATAGTATACTATTTAATAACATTAGATACTATGTCTTACAGAATGATCCAAGTATTTTATCATGCACCTTCTTCATAAAATTTTACTATAATTTCTAAGTGATTCTTTTCTTTTTAATAAAAATTCTAAATGGTTTACCCATTTAAACTTTAGTGAGATTTTAATTAAATAGAATGAAAACCTTTAGAAATAAAAAATTAAAGTTATTTTGAGAATAAATCTATTTTCAGAATATTGGTAAATGTAAATTTTAATTCTTGCAAGGCTATCTTTTTATTAAAATCCTAGGTTAGATTAATAGCATTACCATCATTATAAATTTGTCTAAACTAGGAAATATAAATTTTATTCTTTCATACTCTAAACTCATAATAAATTATTGTTTATGGTAGATCAATTTTGTGAAAGAATTTAATTCTATTAAAAAATTTTATGTAGAATTATAATAAATTTTTCAAATTTGATAATCGAGAAACGAACAAATGATCTTTCTGAATATCTCTTATTTCTTATGATTTTTTTCTATGCAAACCCTATTAATTTGAGAGGTTAATCCATTTATATATTAAAAATAACGATGAGTGCATTAAAATAAAAAAAAATAAAATTTCTTATCATTATTTGTGTATATTCACCCAAAATTTTAGGTATATTGAATTTTTAAGTTGATAAATACAATTATAAATATTAAAATATTTATAAATTTATATTTCTCTATTGGCAGTTTTATAATAAGCCTATTTTATTACACTATTAATAAAGATCGAATGAAAAGATATGCCTATATTACTTTTAATGTAAGGTTCAGTTCGATTAGTAAACTAATCAATTTTGTTTTGATACAGAGAGTTTATTTAATAAGTTCTAAGTATTTTTGCGTACATTGATATTTGAATTCAGATGGAAAAATAATTAAGCGTCTCTTGTGTTAAAATGATTATTATTTCATTAAAATTACATAAATAATTCGATTTCACTTTTTTTATAATGTATCATTCAATTCCTTTAGAAAAATGGAAGCAGAAATTCAATAATATCCCTATTACACGCAAAGTAATATTATTTTTTTTTTAATTGAGAATTTAAATGTAAAGGAGAGAAATATCTAAATTAGAATTGAAAATCTTAGAATTTTTGTAATATTTAATTTTCATTTTATTGATATAAAGATTAAATTTAGATTATTAAAGTATGAATTATTTTGCTTGAAACCATATATGAATAGTACTAATGAAATTGGTATATTACCTTATTCAAATATCAATTGTCTTTCAGATTATAATTTCTTATAGATTAAGAGAAATTAACAATTAAATGTACATATAAAAATAAATAAGATTAGATGCTAGAATAATTATTATTTCTGTTTAAATTTCTAAATATTAAAATAATAATTTTTAAATTATTGAATCATTCTTGAAAATTTTTGGACTTCTCTTTTATTGTATATATTAATGTATATCCTTTTAGTTTAATGAAGTACTAAATGAATAAGACTTTTCAATGAAAACTAAAATATCATTTTATTTTATTATGGTTTTTTAAGGAAATTAATTGAAATCCTTTGATTTTGTATTATAAACAATAAGGATATTTCAAAAGCTTTATAATTGCTCAAATCATTAAATTCAAGTAAAAGAGACTGATCAGAAATTATTTATTTAAAAAATTTTGAATTTCTATTAGATTATCAGTTGTTTGAAGTAGATATTTTAGTATTTGTTTATTGAAAAGTGTTATTAAGACTTTATTCTGAAAAAATTATAACAAATATATTTATTAAGTTGTTTTAGTAAAGCTTTGACATTAGAATTTAATATATGAAGAAATGTAAAAATTTTTACTTATTGATTATGGGGGAGTATTACAGAAATTATCAAAAGCACAGTATATGAAATACAGTTTAACCATTTCACTCTCTAATAATAATTTGCTAAATCCTTAAAATTAGAGGGGTAAACTAAATGAAAAATGGGAATAAAATTAATTTCTCCCCTTGATTTAAATAGATCATTTTTAGACTAATAGTTCTTTTTTTAATTATTTCAAAAAGCAAATTAGAAAAACATAATTTAATATCGAACATGACTTCATTATTAATACATAAAATGAATTCAGGTAAACAAGGAGATGATGCTTGGTATTTTGATTGTCCTGCTTTTGATGATAAAATATCAGAAAATACTAGTATAGGGTATAGAATTAATTTTTAAATTATTTATGAAAGATAAACAGTTATTGGATTATTAGTTAATGAGGGACATATCAGAGATGCCTAAGTTATTAAAGATACTTTTAAACCTCTTTATGAATTAATTAAAGAATTATGATAAGAGCATCTTAATTGGCTTTCTTTAATTTTGGTTAAAATACAAGAATATATTGTAAAATTTGACTCATAATAATTCACAATTTTTCTGTATTATAAAATATCTTTCTTATTTATTAGAACATTTAAAAAGATAATGACCTTATCAAAGATTGGGAATAATTGAACAAAAGATATACTTTATTAAATAAATGGATTGAAATTTTAGGTATTAATAATTTATAAAATTGAATTTATACATTTGAGATTTTAATTAAATTACTTTATTTTGATAAAATCTAATTAAATTGATAAATATATTAATATCATTATTCAATAAAACAACATCTTTTATGATTTCTAAACAAATTTTATTCATAAAAATTTAAAGTCTTTAAACAAAAGATTATTATAATCA